TATACACGAACACAGTGGTTACAAAAAAAGCCCTCGTTTGCCACCAGAGCGCGTGCCCAGGAACCAGATCCGGGAGAAGCGAGGCGCTGCGCATGCGCCGTGCCGACAGCAGCGCCAACGTAGTGATGTGACGTCAAAGAGCTGAGTTGGTCTATATGTGCCAAAACTCAGATCTTCCTGTTTATGCCGCGACAAACTTATGTGCCTCAAAGTGAACCATACTGAACAGTGGTTTTACTGGCGCACACGGCATAAGTGTTAAACATTATGAATAGCTTCTAATAAATGGTGAGTCAGAAAGACAGTCGACTCACCGGTTTTGATGTTCGTTCAACGGTGAAGGTTGTTACTAAAAGGGTGATATGTTTCTGTCTTCCTGATTTATAAGTTGTAGTCCGCGTCAGCTTTTTAAGTCGGGCAATGGCAGCTCGTCCTTAGCCGTCACGTGAAACGTTTCTCCCAGGAGCCTATTCTCGGTCGTTCCTTTCAAGGAGCATCTTTCCCAAACACCCGAAGGGCCCAAGGTTTCGTGCATTGTCATAAAGGGGTATTCACACGAGGGAGAAATCCCGGGGATTTCTCCCCGGCATCCGCGCATCACGAGATGAAAACGCGAGGCTTTTGCACATCTCAAAGCCTGACGTTTTCGTCGTGGGATGCGCGTGCCGGGGAGAAATCCCCGGGATTTCTCCCTCGTGTGAATACCGCTAGTTGAGGAATGGCGCGAGCTTATGAACTGTGTACTTTCCCAACAAACGGGGTGGGCGGGGGGTCGACATCTGCCTGTAGTACCGCGAGCGGCACCTGCTTTGCTCGAGGACTGAGGAAACGTTCTGGGGCTTTGACAAGGCATTTGGAATTACCTATACATTCCGGTCGTTTTTGTTCACAATGGTCGAAGCTTACGGTTTGACCTTGCTTTACGAAAGTATAAGGCTGGGGATCTGTTTGACCTGTCCTCTCAGGTTTTAAAGTTATGTTTAACTCACTGGTGATGTGCCCGTCGCCTTGTAGCCTAAGACCCGTTCATTCCTAAGCTGACGCGGTGTCAGCTTAGGGATGAATGGTTGAAGCTACGTGTTTGTGGCAGCCGTCACGTGCGTCTATCGTTCGCCACGTAACCACGCTCCCTTTCATACCCGCGCGCAGAGAAAGGGACAGGTGATGAAAGGAAGGTGTTTGATTGGTTTTGGTTAGCTTGCAGCTCCCACCGCACTGTCAGCTTAGGGATGAACAAGTACAGTACTGTCCTGATGACGGGACGCCGTGAATCTGTCGTGCCTGGTGTTTGTAAGCCGTTGCCTTCCAGGGATGTCTACACGTAAGCTTTTATCCTTCGCCTTTCCAGCCCTCCTTTGTGCGTCTGTCCAGCTCTTCGCACAAGACTGCGCCCAGGTGGCCGTCGCTTATTTCCTCCGATGGTCTTTCACAACATTTCACCATGCAAAAAAAAACATGTCTTCTTTTTTAAAGCTTGCAAACGAACTTTTTAATTTAGGACAAATGTAATTTCAAAAGTAATGAGTAATTTTCTCGAAACTACTTCCTGAAAGTAATTCATTGCATTACTAAATTACTAGCCTAGAGAAGTAATTAATTACATTACTCATTACTCCAAAAAGTAATTTAATTACTGTAATTAAATCACAGTAATGTCATTACTGCCATCTCCGGCGGACATCCACCAGGTGCTCTTTGCTAATCGTTTAATTCATTTCAAAATTCCTTTTCGTGTATTTTTCAACGAGAGATTGCTGTGTCTGATGTGATAATGCTCAATGGAACACGAATAGACCAAGGAAATAAGCGTCGAAATTTTGTTGTATTTTCCCTTTAATAATTGATGAGAAGTAAGATTTTCTTACGGAACACTCGAATATTTTTGCCGAAAAACGATACGGTATTTGGATTGCTATCTAAAGGATCATGGAAATTAATATGCTCGAAGAAATATTTAAAAAAAAGGAATTATGAGCATTTCAGCATTTTTTTAGTTTTGTTACAAACTATGTCTTTGCTGCAGGCGACTGTAAAAATTCTTATTAACAGCCCTGTAGGCATACTGTACACAAAAAAAAGAAAAAGGCTTCAGGCCGTACAACTAAATATCTCGCAGAAAAAAAAACTAAATTTGTGCGAAACTGCGTTTCGCAGTTTAAAGAGCCGTCAATTCTGTCTTGAGGTGGCACAAAGAAAAATACGAAAAATGGCGAATATTACAGAAGAGCTTATTGCCTTTTGTTCTTAAAAGATTAAATAAAATAAAATTGTTTTAAAAAGAAAAAATAAACATTTTGAAGTCGAGCTCTCGCGCCGCAACCTGGCGTTGTTTCTTGCGCCTCTTCTCTGCACAGCACGCAACCGTGGAGCCTGGCAAAGCGTGCGAGGGTGTTACAGTGTGCGCACGCAGATACACAGCAGGACCTTGAGTTGTCGCGTACATCTTGGTTGGAAGAGGCTTTTTTCCACTCTTGTTGCTTTATGTATTTTCCTATTTCGACTGTTTTGCGCGGCGGTGTCCTCCTGTGGTCTTCCTCTGTCTTGATATCAGCAGATGCTTAGCGCTGACGGGCCAGAGCATCCACTAGTAAGCTAGCTGTTTCTTACGTACACATCGCAATCACTCTCTCTTGTCAACGTCAGGACAGATGTAAAGAGCAACACAAAAGCCCCGTGAACAGGCAATCTCAAACGACGAGCCGATGTGGCGTTAACGAGTGCGCGCCGTTGGAGGCTCACGCCTCGTTTGTGTTTAAATCGGCTTTAACCCGGCAAATTCTTGCGTCGCCTGAATAGTTGCGCTTTTCACCGCAATATGCGTGACGGCTAGATTTCACGGCGACATTATTTCGTTTCCCTTTTAGAAGAAGTCCAGGTCAGGTGATGCCGCCCGTCGATTTGGCATCGCGTTTTGGAGTGAGCCGCCCTCGGGTACAAAGGGCACAACGGGCCTGCTATGGCTACGCACTGGCGGCACCTCTGATTATTGCACGACACCCGCCGTTTCTTCCCTTGCAGCTGGAACTACGGACAAGAGGAAGCGGCAGAAGACTCCTTTCTTTCTTTGGACCTAATCGTGTCAGCTATTGTCGCAGGTGACGTGCTGTGCGGCGAAGAAGCGTTAAAATGCGACGCCGGGTTGTGATGTGAGAGTTCAACTTCATAAATTGTTTTTTCGCTTTAAACAAAAAATACAAATACTTTGATTAATCTTTCAGAGTCAAAAAACAATCGATTGTACTTCTAAACCCACCATATTTTGTATTTTTACTTAGACCACCTGAGGTTAAAATAAACGGCTGGTTATGCGCCAAAACGCACTTTTTTGCAACTTTTCTTTTTTTTTTTTCACTGTAAGATATTTAATGTAGTGGTTTTAAGCATGTTTTATAGTTTATATTCCTGCAGGGCAGCCGGTAAAAAGTTCTATGAAGTCCCAGGAGCAATTAAAAACGTTTTAATAAAGTAGCAAAATTACAAATTAAAAAATATTCTATGAAAACATTAATTAAACAAAACTGCACAAGCCCAACCACATTGTAAGTCGAAAGCCATGCAAAGTTAATTAAAAAAAATATTGTTGGGTGTTTTATAAAAAAAAACGATTTTCATCAATTATGGAGTTTCACCTTGTTTTAAAAAATTAAAACCGCGCTCAGGTCATCCAAACAAGGACAGAACGAGCGGGTTGTTAGGGATAAGTAAACTTGAGGAAGAAAACGAGAAGGGACGGACAAACACAAACTTCCAACTGGCAACAATATTTAAAGACACCAAGAGTTTGCTTATACACAAAAAAAAGGGGGGAGGGGGTAGAAAAAAGGGGGGGGAGTGAAAAAGGGGGCACATTGATACTTTAGACCCATGTTGTTGTAAAAAAAACAATCTCCAAACTCCGGTCTAAAAACATGCTTTTCGTGCAAGGCTCGTCAACACCCCTTTTTTCACCCCCCCCCCCCCCCCCCTTTTCTTGTAAATAAGCAAACCCTTGGTGTCATTAAACGTTGTTGCCAGTTGGAAGTTTCTGTTTGTCCGTCCCTTCTCGTTTTCTTCCTCAAGTTTAATCATCCAAGCATTTTTCGTCCGAAATATTTCAGGGCATGGCTACAAACATTGCGGCAAACGGCCATAAATTTGATTTTTTTAGATATCGGAGGTGGTCTAGCGCAACGTCTGGGACGTTTGACATGAAATTAACCTATGGTACCGCGTGTGACCAATCGGGGTGGGAGGCGGCACAGGGTAAAGCGTGGCGCTACTCTGGCAGCTACGCTGCTATACAGTGGCTCTAGTCCGGCCAACCGACCAGCTTCTATGTCTGTCCTCGTGCCTGCAAGAACGTGCACCACCGTGCCTAAACCACGAGCAGCCGCGTAGTCGCACCATTGCCTGCATTGCCTTCGAAACCTTCGAACCGCACGACATAGGTCTTCATTCGCGCTTCTTGTTGATCAGCCAAGACCCCACCATCCCGACCACGCAGTTTCCTTCGGAACACTCAATAAGCTCTACAGTAGCCGCTTCTTCACCAAGGTATTTTCGACCAAGGTTCTAGGCGGTCTTAACCTGTCCTCGAATTTCTAAAGCAGAAAACCAAGGATCTGCTGGAAGTGTGCGACAAACGCTGTTCTGACTCTCCCAAGAACGCTAGCGCTCGTAACGATAGGAAAAAGACGACTTCTTAGACATCAACTTTACTTGAGTTCAATACAAAATTTATCCTAAGCAAGACTATACGACCGCGCTCCGTGTCACCAGTGTCCATGTCGGGAGTTATCAGAAGCGCTTCACTTTCCCAAGAACGTAGGACAACGGCGCCAGTTGAAAATAACGTGCCTCATGAGGCGCGCAAGGCCCCAGACCCTGTGAACCATAGCAACAATCAGGTCATCACTGTCTTTCTCGATGATGATGTTGCGGATTCAGCATTAATACGCACAAGCACCGAAAACGCGGTACGGCGTCATACTAAATCGAATTTTACATGGTCAATGCCTGCGATGATTTCGGAGCAGCCTGCGCCATCAGAGGTCTCAATTGCTCAGAGTGCAGCCGACAACCCTGCCATCATTAGTGCCAACGAGGTATCAGCTGAAAATAACGTCGGCGAAGCGGATGTCGCTTTGAACACCAAAGAGAGGGCTCGATATGCTGAGAACCTGGACTTTCCTTGGTCTGTACCGTTGACACAGAAGGTCACCATCCGTAAAGGTTCATCGTCGCTGCAGCCCATGTCCAGAACAACATCAGTAGATGAGAACGCGATTAATAGTGGAGCGTGCAGCCCCAATACTGAACGGACTCAAGATTACGCGATGATTAAAACGGCCGATAGTTCGCAAAGTGACGAACCAGATATGCTATTTATGAAGGAGGGGTTCGCTGGGTTAGATCGAGTCAAAGAGGACAGCAAAGAAGAACCACAAACTAAAAATACCTCCAACAAGAATCTCATCGCGACCAAGACTTCGGCCTATGATGGTGATAAGATCGCTGTGGCGTTCAAAGAAAGAAAGACGAAGGACGCAAAAGAATCTATTCAACTGTCTGATGCGTTAATACCTCCGGGTAACATCCCCGAGCCCACGCTGCAAGCAGACAATCCTCAAAAAACAGACATCAGCGTAAAAGTTCGACGCACGAAGCGTAAAAAGGATGTGCTATCTAAAAGAACCATAGATGCCACCCCAGTCACCACCAGAACGGCTACTTTTCTGCTTGATGAACAGAGACGTACCAACAAAAGTGAGATCTGCCTCTTCGCTTTGGTAATTCTTGCAGTCATCATCATAACAGCATTTATTCTGCTTTTTATGAAGTTTAAGACCAAAGGAGAAGATAAACCCGAATTCGGCATGAAATTAGCGGACACCTGCAGTTCCTTGAGCTGCATTCAGAACGCAGCCTTCCTCGGCAATTTGCTCTTCTGGGACGTGAATCCGTGCGACAACTTTTATATGTTCGTCTGCAACCATTGGGCAAACCAGTTGCCAATATCGGTAGGTGCCTTCACCATCTCCATTGACGACGACTACGCGGGTGACCTTGAAGACATTATGTTCTCCCTTTTGGCTCAAGGAAAGCAGACTGGCGTAACACAAGCAATAGGGAAACTGTTTGAACAGTGCCAAAACGCGAAGCAGATTGAAGAAGACGGATGGAGCCCCCTGCTCGACCTTCTGAGCCAAGTTGAGCTAGAAGGATTTCCGTTTACACCGCCTATCCGTAAGCTGCCAGTCTGGAAGCTGGCTGCCAAGGTGCTCAGGAAGACAGGTGTTGCGGCTTTCTTTGGTGTCGGCATCACTTCCTATTCACCACAAGGAAAAGACGTCGTTGCCCTCAGAGTGCCGGAAACGTTCTCCAGTACGGACGGTGCAGACATAAGCGAAGCCATACGTTCTTATACAGGCGCAGTACAGGCCTCACTCAAAGCGCTCAAGAAAGACTTCATACCTTCAGATCATTCACGGAACGTCGTGAGGTTCGCGGGTCAGCTGGAAAGGCTGTACCTACTTTACTCGAAAGAGAGGAACTTCAGCGTTCAGCCTATATTGCCGAACTCTTCGCTAGACATTTTTCTGGCCGAGGTCTTTCGCGAAGTGTCTCCCTCTGTCTACCAGGCCGGGAACGCTAAAGTTCTTATTGAGTCCCCTGGGTTTGCCACAGAGTTTGAGAAGATGGTTCAACAGACCGATACTCCGGTTGTGATGAATTTCTTAAGCGTTCGTCTCATAATCCAAGTTTCACCGTTTCTTCCGGATGTTGATCTGCTGGACGTTTACAGTAGCCTGGTGTACCGAAAGCTCCAGCTAGGCGTTCCTCGCTGGAAGCTTTGTGTGAGAACCATTGAGAGGGCCTTACCGCCGCCCTTTCTCTACTTATCATTCAGCGATGTCCGGGACCATAAACTGGAGGCGAAGTTAGCGGACCTCGTTATCGAGATTCGGAAAGAATTTCTCAATGGCATAGAAAGCGCCGACTATCTCAACGAAGCATCGAAAGTTATCATCCACAGCCTTATTTCTAAAACCAAGCTCCAAATATTTTCTGCGCCCTGGACGAGGGACAAGAAGCTTTTGGAGGAGTTCGCTGGCAAAGTTCCATCGTCCTCTCGGCAGAGCCTGGATACCTACGTTATGGCGCACGAGTACGCGTTCGTGGACATGTTGAGGCGCAAGTCTTCTGAGCAATGGCCACGCTCGGCGTTTAGCACAAGTTGCTGGTACGATCCCGGATCGAGAACAATCTACGTGCCAGTCCTTGTGTTCAACGTGTCCTTAGCTCAGAGCGAGGAGATGCCACTTCTCCAATTGTCCCGGGCGGGCATCCGCATTGGACGCTGCATCTTCGAAATGCTGATTTCAGAGGCCGGTTCTCCACACGCCACGGAACAGTGGCTTAACGAGGACACAAGGTAAGACTGTACTATTGCACTCGTCAAAATTGTTCCACGTAAGACTATTTTGATTATGTTGTCTCTTCATAATTAGAAAAACCTCAGTCCCAGTATTCCGAGCCGCAGTTGCGAGTGATCGGAAAGATCGGGAAATCATGTAAATCTAATTGATGGACGTTTTGCTACTTCAACAAAACAGGCTACGGGAGTGAGATCATAGACAGAACTGCGGGTGCACAGGTTGTTTTCTCAAAACGCGATCCAAATCATTTTTGCAAAATGTACGCATCGCACAAAGAAAACAAAAAGGTTAATGCCGTATTGGTGTGTGCCAAATGGTCCATTTGGCAAAATTAATAACGTTCCGTATAATTTGTTTATTAATTACTTTTGAGTGATTAACTTTTTAGTTAATGAATTTATAAAGACCGTCGAATGCCATTAAATCAACCTATTTTAGAAATATAAATGGCACGTGCAGCATTCTATTGCGTTTTGAGAGAAAAAAAACACAAAATTTGGACGCGTTTCTGGGTTTTGGTTTCCTATCGGAACGCATCTTTGTAGAGAGCCAATATTACAAAGAGCTCCTACAGCTCGATCAGGGTCGCGAGGTTTATAGACCGTGTTCGCAATGCCAGTTGCTAGGACGTAACTAACGCGTTGGTCGCCTGCAAGCTTCTCCGCCTTTCCGCCTGCTTTCCTCTTTGCCACGCGAAAAAACTGCGCATGCGTACTTGAGACCAATCTCCGCCGGAAACGTCCTCCATTAAATTGCAAACGCTCCTTATCTTTTAAAATCAACCCTCTCTACAATCTAGGCTCTCTAGCTAGAGATGCCGCGAACTTTTTTTCCAACCTAAGGTTCGAAGGTGAAACCTTCGAACCTTTTTTCCAACCTAAGGTTCGAAAGGGTCGAGAAGTTTCGCTTTGTCGAACTTCTGCGTTTATAAAGTGTATCATTTCGAACTTCCGACCTTTTTATATTCGAAAATTTTATATTTGCAATTTACGAACTTTCGACCTTTCTAATTTTAAAATTTCGATGATTTTCGAACTTTCGACCTTGTTTCTTGATAAGTCTGAAAAGTGTCACGCTTTCGAACCTGCCATCTTGAAAAGTTCGACGAATTGCGAATCTCATCAGGATTCGAAATATTGCGCCGAAGCTTTTATTCGATGTTCCTAGGCGGAGCCACCACACGAGTTCTTGCCCACCTACCTGTTGTTGACGAGACCCGACTGGCGACTGCCCCGACTTGGTTGCTGAGCGTCGCGGCGTTTTTCGAGTCTAGTTTCGCTTCGCGACATCTTTGCGACCTTTTTCACCTTTTCGGCGAAGTTCCAACGATCAAGCATGGAACAAGCTGACATACATGTAGTCATTATGATCCTACTAAAGGAACCAGGAAGCAGACTCTCAAGATAATGAATCGCTCCTAGTCTACAGGAGCTGTCTTGGAGGACTAAAGTTACGTGTGCTCATTTTACCTTGGCAGATATCTGAAATGTCTGTACTGTTTATTTTTGTGCGTTTTTCTTATCATGCCTCAAAAAAGTTGCCTTCAGAAAGTGAAGATCTCACAACCTAATTACACATTTTACCTGGAATGGTTTTAAATCATATTACAAGTTTTTTTTTTTTTTTTCAGAATTAAAAAAAAAATTTGCACGAAGTATTAAATGCATATAAATTATTTTCTTTTGCAGTTCCACATACACACACGAATGTAACCGCGTAAGAGCTCTAAAAATAGAGTGTACATGAATGCAAACAAACGTGACCATGAAAAAAGAAAATATTGTAGGTTAAAAAGCCTGGCAATTCTAACATATTAGGGTATTTAGCGTACATAGTAGAGAGAAGAGCAGGACAAAAAAGAGTTTAATTGATGCTCTTTTTTTTCCTGTTCTTCTCTCTACTTTGTGCGCTAAATACCTCAATATGTTAGACTACCAACTAGCCCAAATATCAACTTTACTGCAGCAGCGTTACCACTTTGTTGAAAAATTATACGGAAAGAAAATGTAAAAACAAACACTTACAATTAAGATGCCCGGTTCTTCGGCAGGAACATCACGGTTGCCTTGTAGCTGACTCCTCTGCGACCAGCTCTGAAGATGGCACCTGGCAGAAGCTCTTCATTAGAGAGTTTTAGAATGGCGGACCCCAATGTTTGGGTTCCCCTAAGAAATTGGGGGACCCAAACGCAAGAAGGTCAGCGTCCACGCAGGGGCGGATCCAGAACTCCGTTTGGGGGGGGGGGGCAATTTGTAAGGATGCTGTTCTCCCACTTTTTCTTGTGCACCGGGGGGTCCACCCAAGTCAAATTGCCATCCGACAAGGGGGGAGGGGGGGGGGGGGTCGATTTTGTTTGGGGGGTGGGGTGGCCGCCCCCATTGCCCCCCCCCCCCCCCCTTGGATCCGCCCCTGCGTCCACGGCTTATGGCATGGGGTTCTCGCTACGCAGCGCATCGCGTTTACGTCTCCCGCTTGCAGCACCAATGCGGCTGACGAGCGCAATAATCAAAAAAGAAAATATAAAAAACGTAAGACATGCGCTCTTAGAAAGTGCTTTTTGTTTACAAATAATAGTTAAAGGGGCGGTGCAACGATATTCAATTGGGATGTTGTTCACTTGACACGAGCTTACTGGCACAAGTGGGACTCAAGGATACTCGCACGCAACGCCACTGACCAAGAAACTCCTTTGTTGCGCTGTAATTTCGAGGACAAAACCGAGCGTTTTCCTTCAATCTCTCCTTCGCAAAACCTGATGACGTAGCTCGGCGGTAGCAGTACCGCCCAGTGACGATACTTGAATGCGGCTCATAGATTGGACCCGAGCATGGCGTGGACACTCGATTTGGGCTCGTGATAACCGATAGCTCGAGAAGCATTCGGGTAGTGTCCCGTTTCCAATCGCTGCAATGACGACAACAGCCGAACCATAACAATGTCTGGAACTCAGCGCGTGTCCTGTGCCTTGCCAACCCCAGAGCATGGCTATGATCAACATTGGCGGCATATAATCGGCCCCAGATCACGTGGCCACTTGTTCTGGCTGTGAGTTGAGGGGGCGAACTCTGCTCGTTTTTCTTCATTTTTTTTCTGCAACTTCGATTGCGTGTGGTGAAAAACGAACGGGTATTTCATAGGTCATTAACGTAAGGGATCCGTTCTAAGCGGTATTTGCGCAAAATACAAAAATCGTTGCATCGCCCCTTTAAGGTAAATCCCAATCAAGCAGGCTGAAATAAGAGACAATCTAAAATCAGTATAAATGTTGTTGGCTGTATTCAGCCAAAACAATCCAATCCGTAGCGCTTTAATTTAGCGCTCGTTCTCGGATTTTTTGGGTGTTCGTGTGCGCTTAGCCCTTATGTCGCCGAAAATGTAGGCCTTCAACTATGTCGAAACTGAGACCAACGCGAGCGAGCATACTCTGCGAGCAGCTGCTCTATTTAGATTAGAGCTGAAGCGACTTTGAAGCCTTGAAATACTTGTTTTCAAGTTGCAGGTATCGTGCCCCGAACGAAATCCACTCGGAGCCACAGAGCAGCAATTTGTTGCCATCTCAACGGTTCCCGCGTCTCTTTAGGCTTAGGAACGGGCAGAATCAGGGACGATCTTTAAAATAGGGCGAGCCCACCGCTCATTCTTTGTGACTTGAGCGAGACCAAGCAAAGCGAAAGCCGGCTGCACCATTCATTGGCAATGAAATTGGCTAATACTGGAGCGACCATGACGAATTTGCTCTGAAGCGAGCGGAAAGGGCGCCGCCATGTTTGCCGACGCAACCGTGCCCCAAGCAATGCGGAGGGCAAGTTCGTCTGCTTTTTGCGCAGGGGGTAGCGGTGACGTCAGAACGCCGAGCCCTGATTGGCTGATCGCGCCCCCCTATCTGAGCGTCGTCTGCTCCTTTGCAACGTCGTCTGCTCGCAGCGTCGTCTGGGTTTGTCTTACCTTTCCGGCGACTTTCGGAAGCGCAGAGCTTTACGATCTTACACCAAAAATGTGCGTAAGACAAAACTTAAGAAAAGATTCGTATTCACGAAACGAAATTTTTGTAAGCTTTGCGCAGGTTACGGCGAAATCCTACGGCAGCTACGAAGCTGTCTTACGCACTTCTTACGATCAAATCAGCATGGCCGACAGCGTCGCGGTCGCGACGACCCCCATGGACGTTTATTTTTCTACCTACGCTTCTGACGCGTCCCGACTTCAAGCAGCAAGAAAAAATTAATAAGTACTTGAAACAGACCACGACGAATAAGAACGCTGGATCCACAAACACCCGGGAAAAGCTCCAACGGCCACGATTCCACCGAACGCGACCAATCGAGCTTGGCAGACTGCAGTTAGGCCTAGTAGGCACTCCGCGACTCGGCGACCGTCTGCCCACGACCGGCTGGTGTGCTGAATGGAATATGCCCGCGCGACCCTTGTGAACCCTTCCCGTATTATACTTTCATCGCTGACCTCAATTTTAGATTAAGAGGTCAATTTCTTCCTCTTGTTATCTCCTTGCTTCCCGAGGCAACGGTGACTCTCGCCGGTGAAAAAGCGGTGAATCTCCGACAGACGCAGGAAAGGTAAAGCAGCCATCGCTTTGACTAGCAGACGTAAAGCAGACGACGTTAACTGCGCCAACCCGCCGACGCCGTTAAAGAGTGAGGGGTCTCGCCGCACACGAATGGAGGGAAAAAGTATTTGGGAGGGTACTTGCGTACACTAACACGCTCACTCTCGGTTCTAAGCATACAAACCTCGGCGCCCCGGGACGCCTCGCCAGTGAGTCCTTTGACTTCCCTCCTTGATGCGCGTCTGCTAGTTGTTAGACAAAAACAACGTACCGCTCGAGTTATTTCGTCTGCCCTCTCTTAAAGGCGAAGTCAAGTTCGCTCCGAAAGTCGCAGGAAAGGTAAGACAGACGCAGACGACGTTGCGAGCAGACGACGTTGCAAAGGAGCAGACGACGCTCAGATAGGGGGTCGCGATCAGCCAATCAGGGCTCGGCG